CAGTTACACTAAAGTACAAATTATCCTCACTTCAGCAACAGCACAATGGTGTTTCTCAGGGTCAAACAACTACCCAGTGAAACGTGACTATTTTAAGTACAGACTTCAGTCACACTGTATTGACAACCACATCTGGTCCCCTCATTACCCCGTCTTCTAGAAATGTCATTTACTAACACAAACTTGTTTCCCATTTATATTTTGTAGTGAGACCGGTGGCCGGGATTGTGTTTCCTGGCAAAGCTTTTTTCCAGTGTGGGTGGTTCCATATTAATGTGCCACCCACGAGTCGCAGGGAGCCGGTCTGGATGGGTGGATGGTGGGCACATCTGTTCAGGCCTCCAGGACCAGAGTTCACATCCAGAGTGTTGGTGTGGTTAGGTTAAGTCAACAAAAACACTTCAGTTAAGGCTGTAGTTTGAATGTTAATAACGCAATAACACTATGTTGTTGAATACAATAATAATGCGATAAAAAGTGTGGTGACGAAGATGATAATGAGGAAACGGAGGTGGGCAAGAAATCTTTCATTAATAAAAACAAAACTAAAAACTAAATGTTCAGTAACTGCTCAGAACAAGCCCACAGGTCGTCTGTGCAGCAGGTTACTATGACCCATAGTTAGGTTTTGTTGCTAGTCAACATCTAGTGGTCGTAGTAATGATGACAGGAGCAAAGGGAAAAGTCATGTGTTCGGAGGAGGTTGCGGTGGATGGATGGGTCAACAAAACAGGAATTTCACCGTTGTTCAATTCCCATGTTAAAGCAGCAGTTTATGTTGTTTCTATTATCCATGACTGTTTGACAACCTTAACCCCGTTGTTAGTATTGCAACCATGACAACAACGATTGTCTAATCTCAAGGAAGTACATATTTTAATGCAAATCACCGTCTTTTCCTAAACCTAACCAAGCCATGGTTATGTCATGGCCTGTTTATTATTGTAACCAGGGTGACAAAGGTCCGGTACACCACTGCTGGTACACTCTGTGTGTTTATTATTGTAACCATGACAATCAAGGTCCAGTACGCCTGCAGCGGTAGGGGTCGTACTTCAGGACACACTTGTATGGGTGGTATCACAGGGTTGGAGCAAACAACCTGTATGGCTGTTCAGGCTGGAGGACTGGATGTGGCAGACACACACAGTCGGGGAGTAACTGGTGAACACAGTGAAGCTTTCAGCAGCTCGAGAGTCAGACATGTTTCTCCAGTGTTGGTGGAGACAAAAAACGGAGGTAAAAGAGAGTTCATATTGTCACAGGTCTGTGGACAGAAACTGAATGAAAAGTAAAAATATTTCAAGCAGCAGTTCCATCACAGCAATTTACGTCGGAACACGACTCGGTGCGGTCCCATAATCAGAAAGAAACTTCTCTCATCTGGATCACATTAGAGATATTTTTGAAAGGATTTGACAGCGTTTCACATAATGACCTGCTCGTTCACGCCAGTTTAGAAAGTTAAGTCTGGAAATATTCAGATTCCAAACACACTTTGCCCAGGTAAAGGAACAAACAAGTCTATATAAGCACCTTAGTAATTGGGTAGCATTCAATATCCTGCAGCAGCATGGGGGTACTGTGACAAAATACTAATAAGCTTTCAGAGGTGGCAGAAGAAGACAGAGCTTGTCTGAGTTTCTAGTTACTAACTTGGCATGTGTTGGTCTCCTGGGAGGCGATATTTGTTGAAAAAAAAAATAGTTTGTTTTTCTTTTCTTTTTTTTTTATGTTTTGGAGTGTGTAAATTCAGGTTTTCTATCTGAGATACCTGACTTTAAAGGTAATGGCCGGGGCCTTTTATTCGCGGTGTGTTGGGCTATGGGACAGATTTATGCACATGAAAATGCAGGTTTTCATTTCTCATCTGACACGAGGTGCTCGCGGCTTAGTAAATGTGGCCCCGAGAGAATATGAGTAAACAGGCTTACAATCACAATGTTGCTGGTTTGGATTGCGGAGGCTGGCAGGGAACACATGGGTGGGGAGAGGAAAGCACGAGTGGCAAATATTTGGCTTCTGGGACATGTGTGAAATATTAAATCAGCAGAGGGACAACATTTTATGCTAAATGCAACACAAGGAATAATGTTGTCTGGCTCCTGGGCCCGGAAGAATCGGGAGGCCCCAACACGCCGTCTTTGTGTGAACAGACTGTTATTAAAGGATAAGGAGTTCAGGAGTAGTTTTCCTAGTTTCAAAAGGAGGGAATGAAAAGACCGAAACCAACAATGTGTCCGTTTGTCTAATATTTTCTGATTCCCTGACGCTGTCTGTGGCTCTCAGCTCTCAGCACATTGGTTCCTACAGAATTTGTAAAACTTTGGCATCACTTCACAATAAGACTACCATCATAAATGATTTATAAATGGTTTATAATCAGGTTATTCATTCAGTCGTTAACACTTCATGAATCATAAAATAAACAATTTTAAACAAGTTATAACACCGTTTTCATACATTGATGCAGGCTCACTATTTGGCAAGATTTAAGTTAATGCTTACTACTCATTAATCTGACTAATGAGTTACTACCATTTACAACTGGTAGAAGGAGCTTTATATTAACTCATTAATAAACGATGATGTGTTTATAAATGTTTGTAAAGTGAGATGAAGAAACATGAAGATGATGGAGGGAGAATCACAGAGATGTGAACAGGGACAAAGAATGGGTGAACAGTTCACCAGGTAAAGGAAGGTTCCCACCTGTGTTCTAGCTGGAATGCTAAAGTCGTAAAGAAGAGACCAAGCAGCAAAAAGCATCTCCATGTTAATCTCCTGTGATTATAATGAGGATGGCTGCTGAGAGCATGTCTGTCTAAGATGCTGATGGTGGTTAACTACTAGTAACTTAACAAACGTGATGAAGCAGCAGCTACAAATGCTGATGATGGAGAAAACAAAGAAAGCTCAGCAACTAATGAGATATGAGGCTGAACAGTACAGATTAATGTGGGCTCACTATTCGGCAAGTAACAGGTCACTGTTGCCCTTTTTACCTAATGTGTTATAACAGCTTGTAAATGACTCGCTCACAAGCTAATTAATAAACTAGTTATAAACCATTCATTAATCCTCTATAAGGGGAGTCCGATTGTAAAGAGGTAAGCTCCATATTTTCCTCTTCTTCTGTGTTTTATTTGAAGTGTTGATCCACAAGAAGATATAAAAAAAAAAGCATCTCAGTGTAGTTTTACATCTCCCCTCTCAGGCTTCTCTCTGGAGCTTTAGATTGGCTCAGGTCGATGAGCCAATCAGAGGTGAGGAGGCTCTGAGTCTCAGTGAGGATGAAAGGTTCTGTCGCGGTGCTGTTAGTAGATCCGACGATGCTGATGGGCTCTTGCGGGCAGACTGCTGCAAACTCCACCAGCTGAGAAGAGTCTTTGAGTCTTTGATGCAACCGCAGCTTTTGTTTACCTCTCTTTGTGGATATAAACACACAGTCCACCACCACACGTCCCACCAGACAGCAGTGACTCCCTGTGGGTTTAGTAGTGTGTTAGCCCGTCCAGCTCCACACGGTCGTGTCCTGACTGTCGCCGTGTAGCCGGGTTTCAGTTCAGTTCATGGTGGCTGTAGCTGAGTTTCACAGGATAAAAGCTGCTCCGTTTTTAAAATGACAAAAGTGCTGAAATATTTGCTCCATGAGAGACCGCTGTGTCTGCACGCACTGCCATGGCAACTAAAATCCATATAGTTTCAAGTTTGAAAAAAGGATGAATAATCTCCTAAAACAGCTGATCACTGTAGTTCTTAACAAACGTGACTCCACAAGGAGAAAGTTGTGTGTGTGTGTGTGTTGGGTGGTTTTTGGCAGCGGACTCTGGACCAGCAGGATGGTGGATATGGGACTAAATCAAAATAAACTGCAGTGTGTGTGTTCATGGTAATGAAGGAACATGTCACCCACTGCCACAGAGTGCTTCACTGGTGTGTTTTTAAAAGTTTGGATTCAGTTTGAAAAAGAAAAAAAAAAACAATGATCTGTGTGTTATTGGTCAGAATAGATTGTGTTTGTTCATGAATGTAACGTAGATGAAGATCTGAGCAGATTTTAAGGCAAATCTATACATTGTTCCAAAGGGTTCACTTACTTTTTCTTGCCACTGTAAAATAAGAACTAGAATCACCTCCTCCTCCACTGAGACTAGTTCCAGGTCACCTCCCTGTTTATCCTGAATATTAACCATTTGTGTGAAATTTTGTCTTGAGTTATGTCTAGTGTGTTTTAATCGGTCACACTGACCTTGACCTTTGACCTTTCACCACCTAAATCTAATCAGTTCATTCTTGACTCCAGGTTTGTCCCAAATTTGAAGAGGATCTGTCAAGGTGTTACTGAGGTATCACGTCCATGAGAATGAGATGGGACGGACAACCCGAAAACAACATGGCTGCTGCCAGCGCCGAGGCATGAAGATATAGGATATGACCAGATTTCTTCCTCATCATGTCTTGTTTAAAGTCAGAAGCTTCAGTCAGAAGTAGTGATATCCTGATGACGTAGGTCATCTATAGGTCCATACTTTGTTTGACCTGAGTCACTTTTTTCTCCCACATAAAACGTGTGCACAGTGTGGATTTATTTAAATAAAGCTAGATAACGTCTCTTTATCTTCAGCATAAACAAGACACAAAGTTAAGGAGCATTTTGTCCACCGACAGCAGTTACAGTCAACGTGCAAAATGATGCTGAAATGAATGAAATATGGAGCGCTGCTACAACATGCTAACAGGGGACATTAATACGTCGGTGCTCCGGGGCCCATTGTCTCTCATCCGCGATTATTATGACATAAATCAAGCACAACCTGCAGTGACTGTGAGGCCTTTTGTAGTCAAGCATTTTGTGTATGGAGCAGTTACAGACAAGATACCCTGAAGCGAGGTTTCTAATCTTCAGCTGCTGCTGCGGAAACACTGCAGTTGTTCTATTGTACCGGACGACTGTGTGATCTGTGTGTGATGAATTCATGTGATGTCAGTGTTCTCACTTCGATCTGCAGCAGAGCCTCCTCTCTTTGACGAAGCACCTCCACGTCCTCCTCACTGATCTCAGACAAGAAAGCCTGAGCTCTTCCCTCTGAGCCTGCAGCTTCTCCGAACAGCGGACCCTCCTCCATCGGCTCGCTGGATGGGGTCTGGACATTCTGCTGGATCACGAACACACACACGCACATACACACACACACACACACAAACACATTAGATTAGATCAGTAGCAGAAATGCTAGCAGATACAGCAGTAACTGGAGCGGTGACGTGGACCCGGCCTCGTTAGGAACCGAGTGGACATGTGAAAACCTCTAGTGGAACTGGAAATGTTGCAATAAATGTGTTACAGATAATGCTGTGTATATATAATTATATTCCACTGACTGTATGAACGGTTACTCACAGTTTTCACTTGCACTGAATCTCATTTTGCCAAGTGAAATCTGAAATGTTGAACCTAAACGTTCCTTAATGAAACTAGAATCCCTTCCTCCTCCACTCAGACTAGATCCAGGTTACATCCCTGTTTATCCAGAGTCAGAGAAAATGTGAACCATCATAATTGCTGTGAAGTCTTGAGTAATGCCTAAAAATGTTTTGTGAGGTCACACTGACCTTTGACCTTTGACCTTAGAGCACCAAAGTCTAATCAGTTCGTCCTTGAGTCCAGGTGAATGTTTTTAACCAAACTTGAAGAAGTCCCTTCAAAGCGTTCCAGAGATATCGTGTCCATGAGAATGGGACGGACGTATGGACAGACGGACGGATGGACGGACAACCCAAAAACAATATGGCCACTTCAATCAGTCATTACCAGATTTTATTCATGCACTGATTAGATTGTGTGATTAGCTTCTGGAGCTGAATGTCCACTTGGTGTCACCAGTTACTGCAACCTGAACAGTGCATGAGACTGAGGCTGCTAATTCATGAAGACCTGACCAGTCTGCACACACACACGCGCATACACGCATACACACACACACACACACACACACACACACACACACAAACAGAAGCAGAAGAAAAGGCAGAGACATGTAGTCAGAGAGAGGCCTGGCTGACTTTTTTGCATTGCTAATGTGTTCCACCTTCGTGCGGCTGACTGCACAGCTAATTCATGGTGGAGGGGCCGGTGTGGGTCACGGCACAGGGACCATCCCAGGGCTGAGTCACGGCGCTCTGTCTACTGGCCACGATGTGACTCACCGCTCCTCAGCAAACTCCGCAACATCGTGCTCACTCCTCCACATACGTGCCCACCGCAACACGCTAGCACATCACACGGACGAGGACGACCCTCAGGACGATCGGGTTGGCAGGCTGAGAGAAAGTGCACACAGTTTCCAGAGTTTCCTGATGATGTAGAGTTAAAGATGTGGGCGGGAAACAATCAATAACATCTGCAACGATCTGCTAAATGCAAATGTATGATATTTTTCAAAAGTCGGGCGGCCTCTCTCATTTGCTCTCCATGAACTGAAAAAGCCTGCCGCCTCATCTACAGAGAAGTTTGTACTAGCTGACAGACTTGCTCCTGTGCATGGACAGTTATATAATGTACCCTTCAGCTCATATGGAAGACCTTGATACGTCTACAAAGGGACATAAAGCCTTAACCCGTGTGTTGTCTCCAGGTCAAAAACGACCCGCCACTGTGTTTACTACCTAAATGATCTTTTTTTCAACTTGAAATTTGATCAGTTTTTCCTAGAGTGACCCCGACATAAGAAAAAGTGAAATATTGACTTTATTCCTTTATTCTCTTTCTTCCTGGAGTGCAGTGTAGCTGCGGTGTTTCTGGTTTAACAGCACCGTGCTGCACAGGTGACAGGTGTGTCTACAGCGGCTGTGACTACTGCAGAGTCACGTGACCCAGGTGTGAACGCTGATTGTTCCCTTCTCCATTGTCGACAAAAGCCTGATGTTTGTGGGTCTTAGCTATTTTTTGGACCTGTGGAAAAGAGGCTTTCCAGGTGATAAAACTTGATTCATTTACTGTCCAATTCTGGGAAATCCTCTTATTTGCTTTCTGGCTGAGACTAAACATGAAGTTACCACCAGCAGCCGGAGTGAGCTCAGCACAAAGGCTGGACACCTCTACCTAAGCACCTAAGCTCACTAATTAAGCTCTATAGATTTATCTCATCTTTTTCATCACTACAAAAACCAAAGCGTAAAAATAACAAATTGCTGGGAAATAGTACAAACACAATCAGTGTTTTTTTTTGTTTTTTTTTAAACGCTGTGCATGAGCTGTCAAAGAGAAGATGTTTTATTCACTTGCTTGTGTTTTTGTCTATTTTCAAATTTGTCTCTCACAGTGTGTTGAGCTTTCAGGGCCACCGTACAGGTACAACATTACCAGTTTAGCAGCTACGTAACAATTAAACAACACAGACATGAATGACATTTATGAAGTAACAGTTGTATCCTTCTGAAAGGCCCTCCCTCCCGCTCTCTCACCCACTGAGATCATCCAGTCATAAACCTGATCAGGAGTCACAACACCAAACCAGCATGTTCAGCCTTTAGCACATCAGTATGTGCTGAAATCAGCCACTTTAAACGTGACAGGATAAGGGCTAATTCTAGGGTAATCCCCAGAGATTTCAATCAGTCTCACTGTAAATGCTCCTCGATTGCATTTGGACTTATTTATCTATCTGATCTGCCCAAGACACCTGCAGGGATTAAATGTAAGTGAATTGGAAGAAGCTGTTGGGATTTGTTGGACAGTTACAGGACATTACAGTGGCACAGGGAGCTCGACGCACTGAAATAAACATCTGTGACAAGCTTATTTAGTGTTAGCCAAATAAATGCATGTGTCATTTGCACACTGCAACAGTGTTACCACCACAGCTGCTGAACATTGTGGTCAATCCTTGATGCTGAGCAGAAAACCTATAACACTTTGGGTTAGGGTTAGATATGCACTGGATATGTTTTCTGTCACTACACTGAGCATCTTGCCTTTTGATGATATCACTGTACACACCCTCTGACACTGACATATCTCTGCTGATTCTAACCCGAGGGGTAAAGTTATGCACCAGCTTTCCAAGAAGTATGAGCCCAGTCGACCAGACGGTGTGGCTGTAATTGAGGCTCAAATCAGGCCACGCCCCTCACACCATTGGCCTGATTGATTTGATGTTTGTGCTCTACAAAAAAAACCTCATGGACCATTAAAGTCCATCTAGAAAAATGTTTTGATCATTTGCATAATTTGAAAAACAGTGAAATGAATAGAACTTTATGGGTTTTTGAGATTTTGCGACACCAAATTTGGTATACAGCAAGATGTGTAAAAACATGGCAGACATCAACAAAATATGTCAATATCTGCCATCTTAATGCTTCATAAAAAATACAATCTCAGTCGGCCTAAGGATGGAGCTAAAAATTAATGGACAAAAAGTTTGAAAGGCTGGCTCTGCCACACCGTGAGTCCTGTTGACTCCAAATTTAACTCACAGCCACAAGTCAATATGCTTTACTAAAAGCCTACTGTGATGGAATTTTCAATCATTTGCATAATCAGCTAAACGTCGGCTGCTTCTCTCTGTTGAGCGCAAAGGGGTTACAACCTGTGAATTGCCACCTGTGGCTATAATTGTATTTGGAATCCTGTGGATGTACAGTCATATACTGTACTGTACCTACAGCAGGTCCACATACAGTCAGTGTACAGTCCGCCAGTACAATCTGACTTCATATATTCTATTTTATTACTTCCACTGCTGCAATCACCTCATATACAAACCCAGATCAATAAGTTTCATTTCTCATTATCTGGTTTTTCTAATCAAAGATTCACTCCAAAGTTCATTCATTCACATCCACTCCGTCTGTAACAAGGATTGACTTTCATTTGTTAAACACAATTACTGATTACAGCCTTTGTCACGGGGCGACACAGTGAAAATAAACTTTTTCTAGTAACTGATTTAGATTTAGATTAAAAAAAAAGAGAGACATTTCAGCATATAAGAGTTGGATGTGATGAATGGAGTCCATTGTAATATAATAGAGTGAAAGAGGCTAGACAGAGCTTCAAAGGAGCCCTTGTGAGGATGCAATCGAGCAGAGAAATGCCATCTCATCATCCTGCTCTTTTATGAATGACACTGAAACAAAGGGCTGATTTTCACCCTCTATATCAGCTCACCTTCTTCTTGTCTGTCTGTGCTGGAGGGAGCAAGGCCCTGGAGCGCTCTGCAATTTTCTGAAAGAGGAACAAATGAAGAGACGGGGTCAAGAAGATTCATTTCTCCACCTTAAAGAGCTCAGACTTTTTCATTCTTTTTGCCTTTATGCGCAACATGTAGGCAAATATAGATGTGTACAGTTTTCAGTCAGCTCCATCTATCTGTGATTTATTGGACAGAATTCAGTAACCATAGTGATGCATTTATGAGATCGATTGAATGTGTTATATACCTTCTGCAGATCCCCATAGCGCTGCACAGACTCTGAGAGTTCAGTCTTTAGTCTGGTCAGGCGCAGACGGTCTTGCTGTGCAACAAAACAAGATTAGCTTTAATTAGCTCAAATGTTGTTTAATCCACTGTTTATTCTTCAAAATGACAATGGATGAGGGAGGAGCAGGAGCATAAAATACCCGTGAAGAGCCGCTGATTATATCAGAGAGCTGTTTGATGAGTTGGCTTGTGCTGGTGATGACTTTGTTGGTTTGCTGCTGTGTGGAGTGTCTGGAGAAAAAGATAGGACGAAAGACACAAACACAGAGAGAGAGCAGTTACTGAATTATGAGAATTCAAATGACATGACACTCACAAAGTCAATACATTAAAGACCCCCTCCAATGAAAGCCCTGTGTTTAAATTTGTTGACGTCCATATGATGTTTGTGTATAATACAGACATTTGATGAGTGAAATAATCATCAGCACCGTGACTGAGTGTTTCCACGTTGAACTGCAGTGAACCAGTGATTCAGACAGCCAGGGTTTCATACGTCACAAACCTAAGGAACCAACCGTGTCAACTAACACAGAGAGAGCTAAATCATACGAACATGGGTTAGTGTTGAAAAGTAACCGTTAGTCAGCTGATTGCTCTGGTGTGTTCTTAAATTCAATCTGAAATTGAAAGAGCGTCATCTGAACTTCTGAAATTCAGTTTCAGGTTCAGGTCACTCAACAATGTTGTTAAGTTTTCTACTTAAGAATGTTAATTGAGTACATTTGAGAAAATAAAGCAATGTTAATTCTGTTCTTTATTTCGTTTTCTCTTACCAAATAACAAAAAGTACTGATAAGAGAGAACCGTTTAAGTACCGATCGACAAGAACTATCCATAAAAGTTGTAGTAAAAATCTGACAGATGTTTACAACGTCTGTTGAATGCAATGCAGCCACAGCATCATGTTACATTATGAGTAAGCCCCAGCATGTATACTTAGTTATGGTGCTGGGTAGTTGATGTTTTAACACCACCTTTATAAAGATCATTCACACCCCTCCTCACTGTCAGGTATTCTAGAAACAGGAAATGACTAACTGCCAACTGTGAAACAGGGGAGAGGCTGTTTTTCAAAATAAAATAAATAGAGTACAATACATCATGGTGAGCCATGCAGGACCCTGTGAGCCAGGCTGCGCTCAGGCATGTATGGTTGAGATTGCATTTGACCTGCAGAGTGACTGTGTATTAACAGCTGTCTGGTAGAGAATGAACAGTGTTACATGACGCATCCTCTCTGTTCCTTCATGTTGTTCCAGAGAAGCTCCACTGAGGGTGAAAGGTCGGAGGTGCAGCTGTATTCATAACTCTCCCGCACATCCACTACAGCTGTGGGTTAAGACTGTTATCAAATATCTATGCTGTCAGGTCATCCTGTGCTCACAGCACAGGAAGAACCACCCCCCCAGCCTGCCTCAGTACCCCCGAAGGCCAACTCCCATCCTCTAGACTTGACATTATAACGGGCTGCCCCACAGAGACAGACAGCTACACAAACACACATATCTGCTGCTCCACACCCTCCTCAAATATTGATCTGCGTGTGACTGGAGGCAGGGAGGCAGCAGCTGGACCGCAGTGCACTGGGGAGAGAAGGATCACGTTGGCATAACTCTGTATCTGTTGTGAGAAAAATCCAAAAGTGTCAAGGTGGGAAAAATACCTGAAAAGCATCGGCCATCAAACGTGTGCAGAGCGGGGTTAAAGAGAGTTGAAGAGTCAGGGAAGTAGACGGAGTAGAAGTTAATTTTGCTGCTAGAAATAAAAGTTTAATCGTAAGGAAATAATTAAATTGGACTGCAGCCAGTCTCTCCTCCCTGACCAAAGTCATAACAGACAGAAACAACTTCTTCTACGTGGAAAAGTTTTACACTGTTACTCTAATCAGGATTTAAGGCTTTAAATGGCCAGGATGCTGTCACTGTACACTGCAGCTGTAAGTAGATAGTAAATCTGTGTATATGCTTGAGCTCAGTTATGATAACACAAACTGAATATTCTGAAGACGGTTCATTGTGTAGTAGTGGTGTATAATACATTTAAAAAAAGTTCCATTGTTCTTACAGGGCTAACTTGTTTGGGACTAAGCACCGTACATGCTGGACTATTGATCAGCCATTAGAGTGTGTGTGCTCCATGATTAGGAATGTATCCTAAGCCTGAGCCAGAGTTCGGCTGCAGACTCGCACATAAACATACCCACAACAGAGAGATTAACAAGTGCTAAACCTCAGGCTGATGCGTCATCGTTTAGCTGCAAAGCAGCAACAGACATGTGAAGGATTATTTTGAAATCACAGCCAGCTAATGCTCCATCATGTTACCCACCAAAATTACACAGCAGGGCACAGACTGTATGGCTGGCACCCTGCATTAGGGATCTGGAGGGATGACAAATAAACCTCAGTATGAATGTGCAGCTGTGATGCACCATGTGAGACGTGGAGAGGTTCATTTTAGGAACACCTTTTAATGGATCCCTCGCCAGCGACAGACTCCCTCTCTCCAATCACTGCTGACTGTTGCAAACAACTTACAGAGCGCTCCACTGATTCAATATCACACTTTTAGAAATTGGGGAAGTTGGGAGACTGATATGAAGGGGTCAAAATCTGACTGAGATGTCCAGAATTTTACTCCCTTGTGTGGGTTGAGCTCCAAAACACTTCCCATGATGCAACTCAACAGCATTTTTCATCATAGCCTCCCTGCCTGGTAAATGCCCACATTTCTCAAAGTCCATACCTCACCTTTGCAACACAGATTTTCAAAGCCTAAACAAGCTGAGACAATCATGATGACATCACTATGAGATCATTAAGGGTTATTTTTTTCTGCAGTTTTTTTCACAGGCTGAGGAAAACTCCCATTGGCCTGTTGTTATGAACTATATCAACTCAAGTTAACAACTCAGAGGTTCCCTGTGGTGTTGTCATTAACAGTTTTCTTACCCAAGAAACCTGAGTGTTTGTCAGTTCCTGTTTCACCATTTCCTGATCTGATTTTTTGGCTGGACCGCAAAAGCAGGGCCTGTCTCTGACTGACTGACTGACTGACTGAGAGTGAGACTGAGAGGAGGAGTGCTTCCAATACACTGAGCCTCGCCTCCATTACAGCAAATAAACTACTTTGATTCCATGTATCATTATTACTAAATGAGGCAGAGGAATAACTAAACATAAGACACACCGAGCTGAGAGAGCGGGAGAGAGGGAGAGAGAGAGAGAAGTCATCACCAACGAGGCTTCGTACTAACGACTATGACCAACTCTACATATCAAACAGAGGGAGTTAGACATAAAGAGTTAAAGTAAATAAAGACTAAACTATAGTGGACCCAGATGGAGGCTGTGCTCTGTGTGTGAGACTAAATAAGAAAGATAGTCTGTCCGGTGATTCACCTGGTGATTCACCTGGTGAAGCATGTGACATTTAGACAGGTTTGAGTCCGGCCCATATCCCTTTGCAGCGTGTCATCCTCCCTCTCTCTCTCTCTCTCTCTCTCTCTATGACTCTAATAAAGGCAAAAGCCTGTAAAAAATAACTTAAAAAAAGAAAGACAGTCTGTCTCTTCTAACTTTCTCTCTGAATGATCATGTTACAGTAAATCCAGCTGAACTCACAGCTCAGTCTTTGTCTCTCTGTGTTTGGTTATAAAAGTTATAAAATCAAGATTTGACCAGAGGTCCAGACATGTACGAGGTTTAGACCTGGGCTTGTTTATATCCTGCACCGTATATATTTTTTTGCTAGTTTGCTATCTTGCTGTCTCATACGGAAGCCCTGAGAGGCAAGTGATTTTTCTGTAAGTGGAGTTTGCTAGATTTCCATCTGTGAAAACAGAATTTTTTGTTCACAGATGAAAAAAAAAAAAAAACTCACTTGCGTTTCAGGGCTTCCGTAATGTTATCCCTTTCCCCCTATTTGTAGTGTATATGTAGTTGGACTGTAGTTGGGATGACACTATTTCCGGGATAATTTTTCTAAGTATTTTTATGTTCATAAAAATGTTTTATTGTGTTCATAAAATAATAGGTATGAGAGTAAATAGTATTTTATGTAGGGTTGCTCACTGTTTCATAAACAGTGTAGCAGGAAGTGCCGTTATAGGTTTATTTTGAAAAAGTTGTACTTGCTGCACTCATGCGAGCTGTACTTCCTCTGTGACCGGCCTTTCTCCTGAGAAGGTATGCATGTCTATTTTTGTAAGAAATTGTTTATTTATTTTGTTGTGTTGTTAAAAGTATGTAGGTGTCTTGGCGCTTCACTGTCTCCAAGTAAAACCAAGTAATAAGTAAGTAAGTAGTGGAATAGCACCTTCCCATTGTGCTGCTACAACAGAGCACAACAGTAAATAACACCACAAGACGGGATCTTATAACTCTGGAACGGTGTCTTTGTGGTAATAATTTCATCTTACGTGACAATCATCACAACATAAACAGCAGAAATACAGTGTTAAAGTTAGAAAATAATCTGCCAGGCATGAATCTACTGGCCTCTGGAGGTTTACTGGAGGAGGTTGTACTGCATCCTGCCAAAAGCCAGATTCAGCTGTTTTCACCTCAGATGTGTCACTGGACTGGCCTCGTTCAAAAACACAAGGAAGCTGCGTTTCCTCATGTTAAGAAATCAGGACAGTGATACTGTCCCTTTAGTTATTAAAGTTCACTGTCTATCCTGCATGAGCATCAGAGTCCTTCTCTGACTGACTCACATGAGTACTTGCATGAATGGCACAAAATAACTCCATATTTTTATTGAAGATTATTGCTAATAATAAAATATCCTATGGGCATTGTTTCATGTTTGTCTCTTTTGAAATGAATGAAAAATGCAATCTGAGCTGATGAGCTCTGATGGATCATCCGTGAGTCAGTGGAAGCTCCGCCCACCACTGACACGCTGTTACCAAACAATCAGAGCTCGCCCACTACCGAGGACCTCTGAGTGGACCTCTGCAATATCACTGCACAGTGATACATCTGCTACTCACACTCCTCTCCCACAACAAGCTCGAGAGCCAGGCGGCCAGAAACAGCATGCAAAAGATTGGAATTGCTCACACTGTGAATTTCAATCAGTCACCTCTGTTGTGTGTTTCTCCTGGCCCTGGTGGAGGAGGACTGGAGGAGTCTGGGAGCAGCTGGCTGCAAGGGGAGGTGTGAAGCATGGAGGGAGTGTGGTGCGAGGGAGACACAGTGACGGTGGTGGTGGGGGGTGGCATG